AACCTCTGCTCAGTTACATTGTGTTATTATATACTGTAGGTTTTAAGTCAGACTGAAAAATATGAGCCCAGTGAGCAACTAAATGCCAGAGAATTAATGCAGAATTCATAAATTAAGAGAGACTGGAATGTACAGAAAGCACCTAAAATTCATTTGGGATTATATGAAAGTCAGGAAAATATTCAGTGARTGACTTACTGCTCTCTGGTGCTCTCATTTACAAGATAAAGTGTTGTACCTGCAGTATTTATTTCAAAGATACATGTCAGAGGCACAAATCCTGAAAACATTGGAATCCTTTTAAATTCTGTTCCAGCTCACACATCACTGGTGTCAGACGTTACTTTGTTATACATATAAGTTAACATCTTTAACAAGTGACGCTTGATTTTCTTTAATATGAAATACAGTGTAAATTTACACAACTTGCCTGGTGAACAACATAATTTACAGAAAAAAATAAAAAATATATTCTGGAGACTGTACAAATCTGAATCTGTTCAATACAGGTGGCTAAAGGCAGATATTACAAGCAGAAAACAAATGTACAGACTAACTTAAAAAGGAAAATAGTGGTGAGGTGTGTTAATATCATTTTACTGAACATATTCCCTTTTTTTCTTAAAACCCACGAGGTTTACTCCATTAAAAAAAAATCACAGTTGGTGAACAAAATGGAAAACAAAAAAAGCAACACAAGCAGAAAAAAGGTAAAAAACTAATTTCAAGACATCACAAGATACAATGTGCTGTGATTATTTTTAGCTTTAGTTTAAACAGGAAGAAAAAAATCTTTTCAGAAATCTAATTTTTTTGTGAAAATATAAAAAAAAAAATTAAAAACGAATTAAAAAAAACTGACACAAGTAAGACTCTGACACAAGCAACAAATGAATGCTCATAAAATCAGGAGCAGCTTTTTTGTTAAAATCCTGGATGTGTGCAGCAGAGCCCCTGTTAGCATCCTTGTCTAGAGTTTTGTGTTTAAAGATATACACCTTAATAAAACCTTTTACTTTTTGTGGCTTTAAACAACAAAGCTGTTGTGCAGGGTACCTATGAAGGAAGGTTTTTCAAATGGCTTCCTAAATAAAATAAAATAAAAAAACATCTAAATTAAAAAGAAAACTTCTGGACATGGTTTGCAGGAGGGAAACGAGCAAAAAAGTAAAATTAAAAACTTTGATTCATGTAACCAAATAAAAATCTAAAAAACGGTGGCTACATTTTAGAACAGCTTTCTATGTTAATCACGAATCATATATAGAAAGTATATAAAAAGGTACTGAAAGACAAATATGGAAATATATTAATTTATATATATATATATATAAAACTACAGTTATTGCTCTGTCCTGAAAGTGTACCAAGAATTTATACTACAAGTTAATTCATAATATTTAAAAGATTTTAAAGTATTTGTCTCTCCCTGTTTTATCCTACAATGTTTGGTTCTTTAAAAAAACAAACTGTTCAACAAGAACTTTAATAGTTCCTTTCATTATTATTATTTTTTCCACAGGTCTACTGCGTTAAAAACAYTAAAACTGGATATGTGGTTGATGATGGTCCAAACTCTCATTCGATGCTCTGCTTTGATTGGGTGACCCAAACTGAAGCTCGAACCTACTTCCAGAGCCCAGATTCTGGACACAAGAACTCAGCTGTAAAAACTGTTAAAGTCTTGATAAAGACCATAGCTGTGATCTAAATCCACAGTGACCCCAAGAAAAAGGTATTTTTTTAAATTAGACTTGTATACAAGTCTATGTTGTCTTGTCTTTTTCACATTAWCCTCCAAATCAGCAGCCAGAACTAATAAAAAGTTTAAATTAAATGAGAAATAATAAGAAAATGCATGTTTTGCTCTTTTCCTCCTTTTCAGTCAAAATGGGTCTCAGGAGTGAGTCCAGCTGACTGGAACCCACTGAGTCTCTGTCTCCAGTCTCTTCAGTGCCTGCTGCAGCTCGCTGTATGCTGTGGAGAGGTCATCATTGACTATAACCTTCTCAAACAGATGACCATAATGACTCTCCATCATCTGGGCAGTGTTCACCATTTCCTGAAAGTCCTCCTCCTGCAGTGTGGAGAAAAGCAGAAAAAACAAAAAAAGAGGCAAAAGTAAATAAACTGTGATCTAWGCAAAGCTTGCTGTAAAATGTGGTACCCACACACAAACCCTGCTGCAGATTATGGACTACAACCTCAAGGAATTTTCATTATTTCCTCCACCGAATATCCCGTTCACCAGAAAAACAAAACATCCTCAAAAATGTACTCAAAATAAACAAAGGACAAAACACAACTCACATTTACAAGAGGCAGACATGAACAGTGTACATTTTTGGCTGACTGTATTTTTCTGTGTGACGAGGAAATGAGAGCTGGTGGACGACACGGAGTTTGAGGACATGAACCTGCTGCACTAAAATAAAACTGACCCAGATCAGTTTCTGAGATCTGCTAAAGTTTGGCTAAACCCATTATAGAACTGCACATCATTTGACTTTAACCTGAACGTTCTGGATGTGACTGGACTTCAACACCAGTGACTTTTGAGTTGGTTTCTAACTTGACCTCAAGCTTGAAGATACGGGGATAACTTTTGGTTTTAATTCAACCCCTGCCTAAAAATATGGAGTCACCATTAATAGTGAATTTTCTTACCACTAGGGGTGCACTGACCAATCAGCCCTGATTTCCTTAATTTTGGGAGTCTGGTGATCGGCCAATACTTACATGAGAAGCCGACCTTATCCACAGATTGATCTACCTCTGCAAAGGTCTGAAAATCAGCCACTGTCCCCTACTCAAGYTTGCATTTTTTTTCAAGGGTATTATTCAGTGTTTTTCAGTACAATAAAATTATAACATTGAAGGTGTATTGTGACTTTATAACACCTGACAGTGTCAGTTATCATAAAAATCAGTATTGACCAAAATCTGTATCGGCAGAGCAGGCTTTTTAAAGATCAGTGATCAGGCAGAAAACTGCAACTGGTGCATCCCTACTTTGAGCTGACCCTGGTGTCTGAGCTGCCCCCAATGCAAACTGAAAGTCTTGGCTCAAAGATGCCAACAGAACCACATCATCTGCATAAAGCAGAGATGATACCCTGAGGATCCCAAACCAGATGCCCTTCTCTTCATAACGGCACCATGAGATCCTGTCCATGAACAACACAAACAGGATCACAGTCTGCTGAAAGCTCAGCTAARAAATAAAATGTTTTTTAAGTCTGTATAAAAAAATCAGCAACAAATCAGTGTAAATAAACCTGATGCTTACTCTAAGGGTATATCAAAATAGTGTATTTTTACCAGGTCAGGAGTAAATATTTCCTACATAAGGCTTCTGTGATTATCAATAGAGCTCTGATGGTACCTCTGAGGTGGTCCCTCTGAGGCRTCCTGCTTTAAGCCTTGTGGGTTCTGGCTGGTCCTGCTCTCTGTGCAGCAGCAAAGCTGACATGGCTGCAGTTATTTAGCCTTCTGTTTTTACTGGAAACATCCAGCTCTACATTTCAGGACAGATATGGTTTTATAGTAAACCACTTTGGCAAACAGAAGATTATTAATACACACAAGACGCAAATTCATTCTGAGGCACTCAACCTCTTCCACAAACCTGCAGGATTCAGTCTGAGCGTGAGCACAAAACATGTTTCAAATCTGTGAACGGCTCAGTTTTTAGAGAGGCTTCTTTCAGCCAGGATTTACTTCAAAACATTTCTGCTTCATGACTGATTAGCTGCACAGCTAAATTTAGGCTTCCACTGGTTGTGACAGTCCACCAGAAAACCCTGTGCTTTTTCTGCCCAGCTGGCTGGCATTTATTTGAACACAAACACAAACCATCTTCTTCTCTGTTCTCACCAGTTTTATCAGGTTTTGTATTGAAAGTCAACAGGTCAACTTGAACACACATCTAAAGCAGGAAGATATTATTTTATTCTAAGCAATTGTTAATATATACTATATTTTTTGTATTTTGGTGGGGGTGCACGTTTGCTGTAAAAGTTAAGTAAAAGATCTTTCCACAGGGGACTGTAAAACCTTTCAGCACTTCAGTGGCAGCACGAGTCAGCCTCACGTTTTTCAGCTTTTTATACAACCACTCATGGTGTTTCCACAGCAGGATGCCAACTTTATTTTTCCTCTAAAAACACACGTTCTCAGTTTATAGTGGGGTCAAGAACCACACAGGTCATTCCTGGCCATTTATTTATTTTAATTCTCTATTTTTTGTGCTTTATTTATTGCACCATTCCCACTACATAGTTCTATAACATCTTTTCGTCTTACTTAAGAAAATTTGCTCTGAATCATGAGACTGAGGTCAGCAACAGGAAGTCAGACCAGATTAATTCTTATGTAAAAGAAACTGAAAACAACAGTTGAAACTGCATCGCTGCTGTCTTTTTTTGAATCCATATTTCAAAATAAAATACAAACAATTTGTGTGTATGCTTATGCTGCATGTTGCCATCTGTTTCCCAAACAGAATGACAAATTTTGACAGCATGTTTGTATAAATATACCCATACATTTATTAATAAAGCTAGGATTTTGACACCTTTGGTGAATTATTTTGTAATCACAGATTTATGCTTTTTCCTTTTCCTGTTGGTGTGGTGTGATTTTTGTAGATTGACTCTGCACCTGCTCTGCCATCCATCATAAAAAGTTCACATGTAATTTTGGCGGATTGCTGTGTGCACGTCTCCCTGCAGATGCAGTGTAAAGGCTCTTGTTGTCTATGATAGCTGTGTTTTTACTGCGAAGGTYGGAGCAGAACAGACAGTGTAAATCAGGGGTAAGTAGCAGGATACTTTAAAGACAAAGTTTAACTTGGACTTTAAACTCAATTAATCTGGAAGGACTGTTTTATTGCAAGCTTAAGATATTGTCTTGTCTTAAAACTACACAGAATTACAGGGATATTATGACCATCCATCATCTGTACCCAATTCTTCCTTTCAGGGTCACTGGTGCCCATATCCAGCAGTCACAGTGCGACAGGCGGGGTACACCCTGGACAGGTCGGAGGTCCATCACAGGGACACAAAGAGACAAACGAGACAGACAAACATTCACTCTCTCACTCACACCTAGGGACAATTTAAAGTTATCAATTAACCTAACAGTCATGTTTTTGGTCTGTGGGAGGAAGCCGGAGTGCACGGAGAGAACCCATGCATGCACGGAGAGAACATGCAAACAGAAAGGTCCCCAGGTGGGGATTTGATCCGGTGACCTACTTGCTGACAGGCATCAGCTCTACCAGCTGAGCCACCGTGCTGATATTATGACCACCAGTTGTAAATTGTGTTGTTCCCAAAACAGACCTGTCTTGTCAACACATTGATTCAACAGGATCTTTAAAAGTCTACTTTGGTGTCAGACATGAAACCATCATCATTAGATCATTTACGACCTGGACGTCACAAATTTTGGACTCCATGGGTCATACCCATTAATGCTTAAAAACCTGAAAAAAATCAACTTTACAGAGGCTTTTTGCAGATGATGTGGTTCTGTTGGCATCTTCAAGCCATGACCATCTTTTCCTGGGATGATTCACAACAGAATGTGAAGCAGTTGAAATGAGTCATCTCTTTTTGTCTGAGGACATGGTTCTCAACTGGAAGAAGGTGGAAAGCTCTTTCTGGGTCAAGGATCGGAGGAATTCAGGTATCTTGGAGTATAATCCACGAGTGAAGGTCAGATGAAGAGCTGGATTGACAGATTAGAGGAATTGCTCCAGTTTGTTGTTGTGAGAAGTAAGGACTGAACTGAAAGACAACATACTCTTTTTATAGATCTGTCTATACTCTGTTCACCTGTGATTTGATATATGGATCAAAACAAACGAAATCTCAAATAAAGTGGCCAAAATGAACTTCTTTTGTAGAGTGGCCAGGCTCAGCCTCAGCTGTGAGAAATTTGAAACATAGCCGATGTTCCTCTACATGAAAAGGATTCAGCTGAGGTGGTTCAGGCATCAGATTATGGTGCCTCCTGAAAACATAAGAGCTTTTCAAGCAAGTCCCACTAAGAACAGACATAAGGGCAGACCCAGAACTCACAGCCATTACTTTTCTACTTTGGCTTTGGAACACAATGGGATCCTCCAAGAAGAGTTAGACGATGTTGCTGGAAAAAGGAATATTTAGTTTTCCCTTTGGACCTTGTTACCTCCACAGCTCAACCACAGAAACATGGAAGAAAATAGGTGAATGGAAGATTTGTGGCCAAATAAACACCTCCTAGCAGTAAATCCTGGTGTCATGGCTTCTCCATATAGGTAAGACACATACCCAGCCATCATCATCACAACATACTCCATTACTCTGTGGACCAGTTCTGATGCTCACGTGATCATTGTAGGCACTGTTAGACACTCGTCAACACAGACACCTCACAGTGATGCAGTTCCAAACAAAAGCTATTTAAACATTGGATGGAGTAGTTACTTCCAAAATGCTTCCATGTTTTCATTTTGTTTTTGTTTAGCAGATGTTGAGAAGATTTTTTACGCGAGTAAGACTGCCTCAGGTCCAAAAGATCTGGGAAAACCATTATCCACGACTCCCACCCGTCCCCCCGCCCGACAGCTCACCACAGCACACCAGCTAACTGGTTTCATGTGTCCCTGTTGGTCATGGATAAAGATCTGTAAGGACTGACGTCATCACTCAGACACACCGCAGCAGGTCCAGATAGTGTTTCTATTATTGTGCTTTTAATCTGTGAGGTGGAGGTCATGGTTTTCTTCTGTGAAACCACTCAGCTAACAGGTCAGGACCGACTCTTATCCAACTATTCAAGTCATTCAGTCTTTACATTATTTTACCAGACTCTATGTACTATAAGTATGTCTATTTTTATTTATTCTTATTTCCTTAACACATAGTCCACTTGCTAAAATGTTTTCAACAGATTTAAATACAATTTAAAATATGTCCAAATGATTCTGAAGCTCGTTTAATATTCCTGCTTATTTTATTTCCAAATGATTTGCTTTACCCAGAAATTTTATACTACAGTATAACACAAATTCTTCACTAGGACAATTAAACATTCAATACACTTGATCTAATCTGAGCTGTATTTACATTTATGACCCAGTTTAACAGAACCAGCTGGAGTTCTGCACGAGTGTTAGTGGCTCTGTAAAAAAAACTCATTTATACTAATATGCAGGGAATTCTGAGTTTCTTACCGTGAATGGTTTAGAAGATCCTTTGTCATCTTTACTTGATACAATTTTGGCATTTTTTCTGGTCTCCCTCAATCTGTCAATGGTTGGAGGCTTCACAAACACAATGAAAGGTTTGAACTCAGCTGTCCGCAGATGCTTTAATGTCTGCAAGGAAACATCAGGGTAATTATGCAAACACAGATTCAGTCTGAACAATTCAAATTCAGTTTCTGGTGGCACAAGTTTCTTCCAAGTTGGAAAACTACTTAAATCATGTACGACTGAGTCGTGTCACATGAGGGCGAAAGCAAGTCATGCTGAGACTGGACAACGTACGAACAGCTTTAGTTCTTTTAAGGCCCAAGGCAAAGCAAAGGTGTAGGGTCCTCTCCTCTTCTATTCATTGTTTATATTGTTTAGTCCATGTTTATCTAAGATCTACTTACTGAGCTCTAATTAAGAGGTTTGCTGGAGCAAGAAGCTGACATGTGAGTCGAGTCTGATCACCACCACCCAGGACACAGAAGCCACACAGAAATAGGAAGTCTTCAAATAGAGGAAATTAACAGTAATTTCTTGTTGAAAATGACCCCAAGCCCCCCACATGAACCTAGTTTGGTAACATGGCAAACAACCGAGGAATCTAGGCAAGCCTGAGAAGGAGGAGACTGGCTCCTCAGAGAGAGGGAGGTAGAGAGCTGAAAATAATGGAAGCTGAAGGAGGAAGTAAGACTCAGATGAAGTCAGAAGTTTGTATACTCACATGAGGCTGGACATCTATCAGACACACTTTGTTCTTGGAGAGGACGGAGCGGATTGAGTCCAGACTGGTACCGTAGTAATTTCCTTTGTATTCACCAAATTCAATAAACCTGAGGGGTGAGGGAAACCAAACAAAAGCGATGAAGTGACCATACATTAGAAAAACATGCTTTTATTTTATTGTTGCATTCGCAGTTTGTTGCACCATTAAAATCTCATCTCAGTCTGGTTGATTATGTCAGCACGTCTGAGATTTGTCTTAGAAAAATGATGACGAAAACCTAACAACTCCCCACAGACAGGAGGATTACTCTTTTAACCACAGACAGATGTGGAGAAAAAAAAGCAACAGARTTCAGAAAACAGACTCTTTTTTTTTAAATAAATATAATCTACTCTCCTCATTCAATCAGTAACACCTGTTTGTTCCAGAAAGCCCACAAAGCTCTTAAAACACCAGAGCCTTCCCTGCTTTTAACCCGCAAGGATTTCAGCTCAACGAGCGACTGCACGAGTCTAAATAAACACTTTTCCACAAGATAATCTTCCCCCTGTCACACAGAACAGCCACGAGAGGATTCTTAGCTGGAAACAGAGGGAAAAAAAGAGGAAAGTGTACCAACATGGAAAGAACTAGAAGCTAATAGAATGGCCTGGTTTGCAGAGCCTGCTTAAGACAAGTGGCAGACAGAATGACTGCCTCTATGTGACTGATGCCAGGTTATAAAAAAAGAAAAAGTTTTATGGTAATTGCCCATGTAAGAAAGTTTTACTCAGCTTTTTTAATAGTGGTTTAAGTCTCAAACAAACGTCTCATACAGTTCTGAGGAATTCATTTAAAAGCTTACAGTAGCTTTTGTTGAAAAAGTCCCACCTTGGAGCATTTTCTGAGGTTTCACAAGGAAAAGAATCCAGATTGCAGTAAAGAATGGCAGCGTGGGTTGGCTGTAATGAGAGAATAAATTGTTGCCATTTTGACACAGAACAGGGTTTCTCTTGGGAAAGCTGTTCATGCTGAGCACACGTTGTTGTGGCCTCTTATTTCTGAGCGGAGCACATTGTTTCTGCTGTATGCAACGAGGCAAAACACAAACAAGTTCATCGGCATCCTGCTTCACTTTGCTGCCTTTTAATTTCACTGTGGACTGTTCCACTCATCCACCCCACATCACAGCTCTGTCCCTCATGCCTCCGACTCGGTGAAAAACATYGCATGCCTCAACCTGCACCGCAATATGTCCCAAATATACCGTTCTCCTGTCGTCCTGCAGCCCTCTATAAGCTCTCACTACCACAGGCTTCACTGCAGGTCACACACTGTATGGGTGTGTGTCTGCATGAATAAATGTTCTGCATGTGCACCCTACAGAGAGACTTTTCCTTCTCCTCTCTGGTTCATGTGAGACCCACAGAAAGGCATCAATCATTCTTAAGAGCATTACAACTCGCATTTCAATTTGCTGCCCACAAATGTGGAGGCCGGACGTGGTGTGGCTGCTTTCACAGACAAGCACCCAGGCAAGGAGGAAGTCCAGACAGGAGACCCTGGAGCCACTGTCTGGAGATCTGTTTCCAGAACAGGGTCTGGTCCTGTCATCACCAGCTCACACTGAGTTACACAGATGACACATGAGAGAGAGGAGGGTTTTTCTTCTTCTTTTTAAGATTCTTATCTTTTCTTTGCTTCAGTCACAGATGTACGTACTTGTTGTTGTGAATGTCAGCCTCAAAGAGATGCTTGGAAATGAAGTGGTACTCCACACCTTCGGTCTCATGGGTCTTCTTCGGTCGACTTGTATCTGAGAGAGAYGGAAAGGACAAAACAGAGGGAGGAGTAATTACTTCAAACCAAGACTAGATAAACTGGTCTGAACAGAGCTCTAACAGAACTGAGAGTCTGAATATAATCATTATAGACCYTGCCAGCTCTTGTATATATTAATGTGTAATAGCAATATAAAATAAAAAGCCTGCAGCGCTGCAGCTAGGACATTTAACAGTGTTTCAGTAAACTTGTCTCTTGCAATGTTGCAACAGTGTCTGCAGGACCAGAAGCTGCAGCCGTGAGTGTTAGTGGCTAAAGGGTAACTGAGTTTAGGAGTTCTCATTAAGGCTCTTAAAGCCTCGTGTGTAAAATGGGTGGTGGGCAGCACATGGAGGGAATGAGAGCAGGCTGACCTGCTAAACTTGTCAGGGGTCAGGGGGTCACCTCACACTCTGGCTCATTTCAGAAGCAGAGAAGTTCACAACGTGCAGCTCCAAAAYAAACTATTAAACTTTTATCACCTGCAGATAAAACTGCCAAATCCTGGTTTGTTCACCTCAGCAGTGTGATCAAGTGTTGTGTTCAGGTTGAGCCTCTTTAATGGACTGCTGCTTTAAAGGCTTTGACTGATCTACAAGGCCCACCGAAAACCAGCCGAGTGATTTATTAACCAAACTGTCAGAGAAAACATAGAAGAAGATCGATGGCTTCATGTCATCAGCAGCAGGTTGGAGGTGAGTTTTGATGAGATAAACTGATGCCTCTCATTCAGAAATCAGTACGACTCTCCAACAGCCTTTATGTAGTCGGAGCAGCAGCACCAAGCAGGTTTTATTTTAGCATCTGCTCTGTGGCAC